ATATTCGAACGAATATATAATTATTCGTTCATCGCTTTTGACGTGGTTGACTTCTACCGTCTATCTCTGTTGAATGAGGCATTAAACTTCGCATCTAGATACGATGAAATAACCGACGAAGAACGAAAAATTATACTACACGCAAAGAAACCTTGCTTTTACAATTCAGGAGAACCATGGGTAAAGAAAACATCATCAAATCTATTTGACGTCACTATGGGAAGTTACGATGTGGTAGAATCCTGTGTGAACTAGTTGAATCTTTCCTTCTACATCAAATCACGGAAAACTTTCGGCTTGTACAGAGACGATGGCCTCGGAATTATAAGCGCAACACCTCGCAAGATAGAAAACATTAAGAAAAATCAGTGCGCCATCTTCAACAAACACGGCCTAAAAATCACCATCGAAGCTAACAAAAAAATTATAAACTTTCTAGACATAACATACATGAATAGTGGAAAATACAACAAATCAAATCACCCACCAGGAATTCCTCAGTCTCAGAGAGTATTAACAAACGCCTCTCTCTGAAATTTCATACGATGAAGAGTCATTCAATTAGGCAGCATCACTCTACCAAAAGGCCCTGGACAAAAGTGGATACAAGCATCATCTGAAATTCTCACCCCCTCAACAGACAAACGACATCACCAACCCCAAAAAAATCTCAAACCAGGAACATAATTTAGTATAACGCCCCATTCAGCAAGAATGTCGCTACATAACGTCGGAAAAACGTTCCTTAAAACACTAGATGAGGAATTCCAACCAGCCCATGCATTACACAAACTGTTCAACCGCAATACTATAAAAATAAGATACAGTTGTATGGGTAACCTCAAGCAGAACATAGACGGGCACAACAAATCAACTTTATCAAATAAAACCGAGCAACCTAAGAACAGAAATTGCAATTCCAGAAAATTAGAAGATTGTCCTATGTCTGGCAATTTGCCTTAATACAAATGCGTCGTCTATCAAGCCACAGTCTCAGTTGACAACAAACCAGGTCAAACGTGGACTCATTGAAAACGCGTTCAAGACCAGGTATAGCAACCACACAGTATCATTCAGAAAAACAAACCAAGAAATTTAACACTGGACTGAGTAAATATATTTGAGAATTAAAGGACAATAATATGGACTATACACTTAAATGGAAAACCCTCAAAACAAGCCAAAGCATACAACCCAGCATCTAAAAGATGCAATTTGTGCCTATGGGAAAATATTTCATCATTTGCAAGTCCCCCAATGTCACCTTAAATAGACGAAATAGACTCTTCACAGCTTGCAGACACGCCAACAAATTCCTCCTAAAAATCTTTGTATCTTAAACATCTCATAGTGCAATCCACACCATCGTGCAATCCACGATATGTTTATCTTTCGCTATTTAATCTATTGTTAATCACTTAATGATCATAGTCTACCGCTGCCTTTGTATTACCGCTTTTACTCTGCACATGCTCAGTTTTACAATTAATTAATTAATATGTGTTAACTATCTTAGTCAATCAATCATTTATTAGAACATACTTAGAAAAAAAAATTACGAAACAAAACAAGGGAATCTTAAGTAAAAATGAAATAAACAAAAGTGAGTGTTGCTGATGAGGCAAGTAGCTCCCCGAAAAACATGACAAGGAAATACAACCTGCCTTGCCTGTCACAAATTTCGAAGGGCCACCTGTACCATCAACAAACTCAACAATAATGTTAAGGCAAACAAAATTAATTAGTTACAAAAAAAAATGAAAAGACAGTAATACAGATATTTAATCTACGATAAAGTTTGCAAGTGTTTCAATTCAGATCTTTTTCTCCACGCTCGTTTTCCATAACTTTTACAAAATTCATCAAAGTATTTCTCTACTTCATTTGTTATAGAAAGAGCAGTGGAGCCTAGGACGTAGCTTAATTTAATATCAATATTAGCACTTAAAAATTGATCCCAAACATCGATGTTATGACTACTTAATTTATATTCAAGTTTATTTAACTCCTCTAAACGTAT